TAAATTGAAGCTGCGCCGAAACTATTTGAATTTTGAACGAAGATATCTCTGCAACCACCTAGTAGAATTTGATGAAATTTTTTTTATTTTAATTCTACGAAGTTGTTGAATCAAAATAAAAATAATTTTCATCAAATTCTACTAGGTGGTTGCAGAGATATCTTCGTTCAAAGTTTTAAACGTCTAACTAAATTGAAAGCTGCGCCGAAACTATTTGAATTTTGAACGAAGACATCTCCGCAACCACCTAGTAGAATTCGATGAAAAGTTTTTTATTTTAATTCTACGAATTTGTTGAATCAAAATAAAAAAAATTTCATCGAATTCTATTAGGTGCTTGCAGAGATATCTTCGTTCAAAATTATAAAAACATTTGAGTTCTCAATCATCACATTGTGATTATTGATCTACAAAATTGATCACGTGGGTACATGGCTTTAGACGACCCCTGTTTTGGGTATATTGTGATGTCACAAAGGGTCACATGTCACCTGATATAAATATTTCTTTTTTGAGTTCTTGCATTTTTAATATAAAAGACCCCGTGTAGAACATCTCACTGCAGTTTAATTAAGCCACATGAAACTTCCTGTTTGTCTGCTTTTTTTTTTTATAAGAACTTTGTTGTCAAACATTTTTTTTTATAACCCCACTTCCCCAAAAATTTTTGCTTGCATAAAAACCTGTTAAAATTTGTTTGGCTGTTCAATATTACTCTTGAATGCATCACGTAATATCAAGGATATACAAACTCATATAAGTATCGTAAAAAAACCATCGACATATCGGCATATTTTCGAAGTTATTCTCTGATTGAGCGAACAAACCAAGATTTCAAAGATTTTTTTTTAATAATAAAAAGCTTTCCAAAATTTCATATAAACAAGTTACAAACAAATAGCATTTTAAGATGTCATCACGTTACATTTACATCTCTCTGCTCGTATTATGTGCGCCACTTATCATTTTCGTGGTAGCATCATTTACTTCATTGGCAATCTTTACTTCCGCATTGGCCTTGGTGGTTATTTCAATCCGCCTAGCATTCCTTATGTTCGAATTCTCCTGCGGTGTTGCTTTAGACTTTGCTGGATGGAGTGCAAAGGAATTCATGTGCAAGATATCGTTGGGCAGCAACCCATCGTCAACGTCAAGTACTAAAATAAAAGATTCACATTCTTTATCTAATAATAAACATTATGAGAAGAAACTCAAGAATAACAACAGTAGTTTACATAGTAATCATACTTATTATAAGAATAATAGCATAAAACCACTTTTAAAACATTCTCCAAAATTACCAGTATGGGATGTTGATACTTATGATGGCTTTGAAGATAAAGATATTGTTAATGATGACTTTTTCACGATGGCCACGATTGCTAACAAGAGACCAGATGGAAAGAGGGTTAGAAGTGGATATTTGTGAAATTTGAACCTACTTTTTTAATCTTGCTTGAATTCTCTTAACCCTTCTGTAAAATATTGCATTTCTTTATATATATATATATATTATTTCTTTTGTAATTTTTTTTTTTTTTTATAGGCTTGCTCTGATAGATTGCTCTATATCTTTGTGTAAAAAGCAAATAGAATCACTGTTCTATACAAGCAGTTACAATTTTTACTTAATAGATTAATTTTTTTTTTTTTTTTTTTTTAATTTCGTTTTTTTTTGGGGGTTTTTTCTTGGTATATTAATTTTCAATATGTTTTTTTTATAATATATTAATAATAAATCAAACTCGTGTCTAATAACAGATATTCTCTTGTCAAAAAATTTACAGTTTGCGCCTACTGTTTTAAGTTAATGCATGATATTTTAGTTAGCATAATACTAACCGTTTATGATTGATTACATCATAAATTATATATAGCGATGGGCTTAGCAACAAATTAAGAAAAATTGGAACATTAAAAGATCGGCGAGCCCTGAAATAACAAACAAAAAATTGTTACCGTTTCAAGAAAATTTGTGTCATTACACTGGATGACAACATTGCAATTAAATAACAAATACTATCTAGAATCGCCTTCAAAAGAATCTTTTGAGTGGTCATGTACTACCGCGGTCTTAATTAATTTTTTTTAAAGGTGTAATATATAAAGTAAAAAATATATATTTAAAAAAAAAATAATTTTATTAATAATATTTTGGTTCAAAAAAATTTATTAAATTTAGTTAAATATGATATTAAAATACTACGTATCTTTAATTAAAATACTGTATATAGTTTGCATTTATCATGTGGTTTATTATGTTAATAAAAAGTTTACATTTAGGGTTCGTTTTAAAAAACCCATGTAAACCCAATTCCGAAAATCCGCCGATATGATATATATATCGATATATTGTTTATATAAAACCTACAGCAGTATAATAATGTTAAAAGTATACGGCACATGTGTTTTGTTAATTATGAAATTATATACTATATTTTTTAAACATACAACATATTTAACATATACTGCAATACGGTATATCTGATATACAGTATTTGTAAAGGTTTTTTAATAAACCATACTTGTTTGTACTTGTACTGAATCTTGATCTAGAGCTTGCTAGAAAAATAAATAACTCTCAGTTTTGTTAAATAAATTTCTGTTGGATATTTCTATCGCTAATAATTTGATGCTTAAGTTTTTGGTATTTCTCTAAGTTGCTCGTAATACACTCATTCAAAGAACAAACGTTATCTGTTTTCTAGAAAAATGACAAAGTTGTTAGGCTGTGGAATAAAATTTTCTAAGGAATAATGCTTTTTTAAAAATTTGAGAAAATACTTTGACGGACAGTCATAAGTAGGGCTGTTAATGGAGTATTATACTCCAGAGTAATTTAGGAGTATAAACCACTCCATGCCAGTGTGGTTTGTCACTCTAGATTGCTATAGGAATCAAATAGATTGGTTTATGATCCAGAGCTACTACTAATACTACGTACTCCAGATTAAAAATATAAATAATTTTATCAATTGTTGTATATTAAAAATAAAGAATTTTATTAAGACATTCAAACATTATAGTAAATAAAGTTGTTTCTAGATACCAAATTCTAAACTATAATTAGCAAGACGTTTTTAAAATATATGGGGTCTTTGCCTTGAAAATGACCTTACGGGAGGGACTATGTAGATTTTATAAATTAAATTTAAAATTTCTAGCCACCACTAAGCTCTACAAAATAAAAAAAAAGTTTATTTGAATCGGATTACTGGATAGCTAGAAATTTTAATTTTTATACATAAAATCTACATAGTCTCGTAAGGTCATTTTCAAGGCAAAGATCCCAAATATGAAATATAATTACTAACAGCTTCTTGTCTTTGCAGAAGGGTATCCACATTGAGCACAAGTTTTCTTTTGATTATGGAAAGCACGCCTACCGCATCGGCGGCATAAGGTGTGGGTCTTTGTATGACGTTTACCAAAGCTCGAGGTACCCTTAGTCTATAATAAAAATTTTCGATAAGAGTGAGATTTGGTGAGATATTAATATTTAAACATAGGTGACAACATATTCTTAAAATTTTATTATTTCTTAAGTTCATTAATCAAATTAATTATTTGTCTCTGATGGATGAACTTTTTTTTTTTTTTTTGAAAAAATGATGCTATTAAATTTACCATGATTAATCAAAGAGAGGGATTTCAACTTTTTTTTTTAGAATTTTTATTTATGCATTAGCGGTAATATAAATTAATATTTGCACATGACAAAGAGATAATCAAATGATCATGTGTTATAAGAACAGGGATAAAATTTACGGGATACGTGAAACGTGTTATGTCTTCCTCCCTAAAGATTTTGTCTTTACAAAAGTACGCAGCTCTTTCACAAGTTAATAGTCATTTTGCCACATTTCTTGGGAAATAAACATGAGTTTTGGATCAGAACTGAAGGTATTAATTTGGTAAAAAGCTTTTACTTCCTTAACTGTTGAATGCCGTTTAATGCCTCGTTCTCGTAGGATCAAGTTACCTTTATTAGTCAATTCATTCAAAGCGGTATCCAATTTTTAAATGAATTCCGAGATTTCGTAAAGGAACGTGCCCAGATAGAAAAAGAGTATGCAAGCAAAATTGATGCGCTTGCAAAAAAATACTCCACAAAAAAGGATAAAAAGGCGGTTTCCATGTCTGTAGGTGAAGCTGCAAACACTTTATCCGAGAAGGATTTTAATGATGCTAAATCAGAACCAAGGCAAGTTTTAAATGTGGCATGAGGGAGGTCTTTTTTAAATACTTTTTTTGTTAAATTGATCTATATACTTTAGTACCTTTTTGAATGCATGGTCAGCCATTCTCGAAGAAACAGAAAACATTGCAAAAGTAAGATTTAAGTTTTCAGAATCGTTATCAACAGTTGTTATGGAGCGAGTGAAGACAGTAGCTGTAAAAAAAGAAGAAATTCGAAAGAAGGTTTGTTATTTTATAGGAATTTTCCTTATTTATGCACATACTATTGTTCAACGATATATATGCGCTTGGGACTTTTTTTTTTTAGCACATGATGTTTGCCCAGAAACTGAAATCAGATAGAGACAAAATATATAATGAAACGCAGAAAGTATGTTTTGGCATTATTTGATATGATAGTTTTTATTATTTATTATATTTTAAAAATAATTGGTCATATTTTAAATATTCATATGTATATTCAGGCAAAAGAACACTATTATGAATGTTGTGTAGAAGCACAATCTTCAAAACAAAAACAAGAACGTGCACCCGATGAAAGATTGCTGGAAAAGGTACCCTTTTATGTAAAATTACCGCGCATATTTTTGATATATAAATGACAAATGTTTTTCAGTTACGTAAACAAACGTTAGATCATGTTATTGAGATGAATAATAGCAAAGTAAGTGATAATGGTATTATAGTTATCGCGTAATTTAGTTTTTATAACACGTTTTTTTACGTTCTTTTCTCTTTGATCACGTAGAATATGTATATATTATCAATATTAAGAGCAAATGAACACAAGAAAAAGTATTATTATTCGGATTTGCCTGCTCTTACCGATGTATGTGTTGTATATACTTTACATTCATATTACATATAAATTTTTAAGATATCGACTTTTTTTATAGCTATTACAAGAACTTAATGAGAGTAAAATTTTTGCTTTGAAACGAATATGGAATGAATATGTGGATCTTGAGCTGAATGTATTGAGAGATTCCCAAATGCACTTGGATTTAGCTTGTCAAACTATAAAAAATGTTGACGCTCGTACAGATTCACAATTATTTATAAAGTATAACGAAAAAAGTTGGAAAGATCCACCGGATTTTGTATTTGAGTCTTCTCCAATATTTGAAGACACAGTAAGAAATAATATATATTAAATATTCAAATTTCATAATTATTTTATATTAATTCTTTCAATTATTAATCGAAAGGGCGAATTTGTTATTGATGAAAATACTCAAGTGTATCTGAACAATCAGCTTTCTAAATCAAACCGCAAATTACCCAATCTAAATTCAACAATAGAAGAAAAGAGTAAACAGATTGTCGGATTGAAATCACTAAAAGAAGCTTATGAAAATAATCCTAAACTAGGTGATTCCGAAGCTGTAACTGATGTACGGTAAAGAAAATTCATTAGATTATTCCATAATGTTTGATCAAATAAGGCGATTAATTATACAAAAATTTATAGAATTTACACGAGGCAATTCGAGAAGTCACCATCTTGGAGACTTTACGAACAACCTGCCAAACAGAGGTTGATTCCATTATACAAGTTATAGGAGGTATTTGCATTTACACATATATGTTATTAATATGTATTATCTAATCAAATTATAAAAATTAATATAATGCATCATATTATATCATATTAAAGATAATGAAACCGATGGACAAAGTCATAATTTTAAACAGGCCGCATTTACTATTCCAACAACATGTGATTTATGCCAAAATACAATTTGGGGTATAGCGAAACAAGGATTTACGTGCAAAGGTACTTATTATTTATTGTTATATAATGTGCAAATATTATTATTATATACTGTGCAAATATATAATATTATTATATTTGGGGTTTTGTTTTATTGTAAAATAGATTGCGGCTATAATTGCCATGCAAAATGCGAGATGAAGGTGCCTCCAAATTGTACAAAGAGGAAAGGAGAACTTAACCGTGGTACAATAACAAGTGGAACATTTTCAAACATAGTATCTCCTTGGGGAACCATGTCTGGTAGCTAACTATTTTGTCTGTTCGAAATTCTTTTTACAATTGTTATTTAAAGAGAATTAACTATGATCAAAATAGGCATAAGCTCCAATAATCGCGTTATCGGCGAAACAGTTTCAAATATATCATCATCGTCAACAAATGATAAAGAAGAAGGAGAGACATGGATAGCAACAGTCTTGTATGACTATGCTGCTGAAGATACCGATGGGTTGAGTGTCAGTGCTGGTGACGTTATCACAGTTATAGAACCAGATGGTAATGAATGTAATTTTGTTGTATTTATATTGTTGTATTTATATTGTCGTATTTATATTGATTTATTGATTATTTACAATCTTTATAAATCACATCATTTTCATCTTTACCATAATAGATGGAACAGGATGGGTCAAGGTAAGGTCATATTTATCGCAATTATCGATATCAAAATCTGTCCTAAACATATAATCACCGTATTTTCTCTTAAGGCATTACATAATGGACAAGATGGATTAGTTCCAGCATCTTATATTGAATATCAAACTTCGGATAGTAATGATTATGGTATTTCTTGACTCTAATTTCTTTGATTTATTTAGTATTAGATTATATAATCAAACATGAACATACATATACGTATATTAGTACAAGCATTATACGACTACGTTGCACAGACTTCTGAAGAGATATCGATAAGAGAAGGTGATATAATATTAATAACAAATCGGGATGTTGGTGATGGATGGTGGGAAGGTAAGACTTTTGTTTATTATGTATTCTACCCCCGTTCAATTTCCATTTGAACGCAAGATGATTGATCATAGGTCAATCAGATGACATTGCCCCTTTATAGCATAAATATATTTTATTCCCTAATGTTCCCTATGTGTAATTGCTTATTAGTAATTTTAATTAATGCTTGTTTGTAACGTAATAGGCACATTGAATGGAGTGACAGGTCAGTTTCCAGAAAGTTATGTAGGCCCTTTAGAATGATAAATTCTTAATTTATATATTTAGTATAGACTTAATTCACGCCAGTTTTGTATTATTAACAAGCACGTAAGGGTAATAACAGATATTACATAATATTCTGAGGGGAGGGGGTCTCTGATTTTCTTACGTAGAAATATAACTTTATAATAGCCAATCAAATTTCTCTTACGTGGGGGGAGGGTATGGTAAAAAAATATTACGTAATATCTGTCACCACCCTAAATTAATAATGTATCTAAATTTTTTAATATACATTCAGATATTTTATATTTATATTGAGATCGGCTCGAAATATTTTAAATAAATAGAGATAGTCATTATGGTTTTTAAGGGGATAACATTTTTAACTAGATTAATCGAGCTAGCAGAAATTCAGCTGTATCTTTCATACTATATCAGATATCGAGATGATTAGAGCTGGGTGTGCTATTATTGAATTAATTATATTATATAAAATAAAATAAAAAAAATAGGTTTTTTTTTGAAATAATAAAGATCGCTTTAATACAACATTCTTTCTTCTTTGAAAGAATTTTTTCATATATATAACATATATAGTTATTCGCATTACATATATTTATTTTTTCTAATCTTTTTTAGGTCAGTATTTTTTTTTTACTAAAAATTTTATCATCTTGGCACTGCAATTATCCTACTTTCATAATTACATCATACGATAATAATTAAAAAGTTCAGATACCATAAAAGTAATATTCATGTGATTGTAAATATAATTTTTTGTATTTATAAGTACCGTTTATGGAAAAACGCCAGAATGCAAAATCACCATCTTCTCACTGAAAATGACGGGTTCGTTGTTTAAAAGTTTTTTTAAAATTCCCGCATTGAGCATTTTGAAACAAAGAGGATTACCAAATGTTGGTGTTTTTGCCATGCAAAGGAGGCTTTTTGCTTCTGAGAATGACAACCAGGTGAAATATAATAATTTTTAGACATTTTAAAAATAGTTTAATCAATCGCGTTCAACATTCAATTCATTGAAAATGCGATTTTATCGATGAATTCGGCTCTTGTTTATTATATGTTTATAATCTATTTTTTGGTTTATCGATATTTTTAATTAAAGATGACAGTGAGAGAGGCTCTTAATACGGCACTTGATGAAGAACTTACTCGCGACGACCGTGTTTTTTTAATCGGAGAAGAAGTCGCACAGTATAATGGCGCATATAAGGTGAAAAAAAGTTAAATTATTAGTTCTAGTAAATGAGTGTAAGATTTCATATTAATCTTATTTATTATTGTTTTTTTTTTCATTTAATAATTTCTATAGGTATCAAAAGGGCTCCTTGATAAATATGGGCCGAAACGTATTGTTGATACACCTATTACAGAGTCAGGTTTCGCAGGCCTGGCCATAGGCGCAGCATTATCAGGATTAAGACCTATATGCGAATTTATGACATTCAATTTTTCAATGCAAGTAAGTAAATTTTACATAATACATATTTCTTTATAGTTTATAACATTATTATTAAAATATTTTTGAAGGCTATAGACCAAATAGTCAATTCAGCAGCCAAAGTTCATTATATGAATGGTGGTATAGTACCATGTCCCGTTGTATTCCGGGGTCCAAATGGTTTTGCAGCAGGTGTTGCTGCTCAACACTCTCAAGATTATGCAGCATGGTATGGTTCTATTCCAGGATTAAAAGTTGTATCTCCATGGGATAGTGAAGATGCTAAAGGATTATTAAAGGTATAGTTTGCATATATAATTTTTAGTGTATTTATTAAAATATATAATATATACATATATATATATTAAGAAATGATGTTGTTTGAAAGGCTGCTATCCGAGATCCTAATCCGGTTGTCGTATTAGAAAATGAACTTCAATATGGGGTTAAATATCCAATGTCTCAGGAAGCAATGTCACCCGACTTCTTATTACCATTTGGTAAAGCTAAAATCTTACGGGAAGGCAAGGATGCTACAATTGTATCACACTCAAGACCAATAAATTATTGTCTTGAAGCAGCCGAAAAATTACAGAACGACGAAGGGATTTCAGTTGAAATAATTAATTTACGGTCAATTAGACCATTAGATGTTAATACAATATTAGAATCAGTCAAGAAAACTAGTCATTTGATATCCGTTGAATCAGGATTTCCACATTTTGGAGTTGGTAGTGAAATGTGCGCATTGGGGATGGAAACAGAAATGTTTGATTATTTAGATGCACCAGTAGAAAGAATCACGGCTGCAGGTAATTTAATATTTTTATTTTTTATTATTTAATACGATGAAATACTCATCTTTTATATTTTATATACATTTAGACGTTCCAACGCCATATGCAGAAAATTTAGAAGCTTTGAGTTTTCCAAGTGCAGAAGTAATAATTAAAGTAGTTAAACGTGCTTTATATAGACAAAAGTAGGTAAAACCAACATTTATCTTGTAGAAATACTGATGTATATTGATTATTTAAGAGAATACCAGATAACATGGATAATTTAAAGCAATATGACAATTTGTTTTTTTTGTCAAAAGCTAAATTATATAACGATTGTAATGGTCAATTCTTTTCGAATCTGATACGCAATTCATAACAAACATAAATTTTAGATGTGATTAATTTAAGGCCATACAAACTTAATAAATTTGTTCTTATAACCTTGGCCGGATTGATTTAATTGATCATTAATTACTATATATAAAATAATCAATTAGTGCATGTATATAGCGAGTTCATCATATACAAACAGCCCCATCAAGCAGAAAAATTCCCCGGGCGCCATTAAAATCTCTATCAATCACGACTCCACATTCATTACACCTGAACACCCTGCTTCCACCCAAGTTGTGTTTGATAAATCCATAGCAACTGAATAAAAATAATACTGTACCAATTTTCCCGACTAAAGAAAAATAAAAAACTCTGTTGAAGAGTTGAGTAGACTACTGTAGTAGTTTTTAGAAGAAGTCAACTAACTCTGGGAACTCCTCGATGAAAAGTTAGGTTTTTCTTTAGTAGAAAATTTTGGTACAAGTGATTGTTAAAAAGAGTTTTTTTTTTTAAAAAGTTATTTATTATTAAAGATTAAAAGATTATTATAGTATATAGTATAACCAATTAAAAATAATTTAAAAATTATGTGATTGGGCAGATAGAAATTGCAAAGTTACTTTTGAATATTTTAATATTTAAGATATCAAAAAAGTAATCTTTGTATTACAATATATAGAAATTAAAATCTACTACTTTGTTTCAATTATACTATAGCTTGTATTATGTTTGTAATTAGATATACTGTATAATAAACATTTTAATATTTTTTAGTAGGCTAATATACTAATAAAAAAAAATAAAAAAGCCAATTTACAATTTAGATAATTGTGATTTAAAAAAAAAATTTTTTATAAAATATAAAGATTTTCTTTTATATTATTTAAAATATAATATATAATAGATATACAAAAACCAAATAGCATTTCATAAAAAAAATATTCTAGATTAATGTTAATAGTAAATTGTTAAGGCTAAATAAAAATTTGATTGCTATTATTAATAGTCTTAAATCCAAATTTCTTTAAATATAAAGTAAATAAATTATTTTCTATCAACCGACTCTATATTAATAATATAATAATAAAAAAAAAGACATAAAATAATAGTAAGAGTTTAAGCCAAAAATTTATATTTTTCTATTATTACTTACTTTTATTGAAATAATTGTATCAGATTGTACAATATTAATTTTACTGCAATTGCATCATGAGCTCTATCTGGATGGTGCCAATAATTTTTCGCTGCATTTAATAAATGGTCTTCATTTTCCGAGAAGGTAACTTGTATTGCAAGTTTGGGCCATGGTTTATGCCAATAATGTATCACTAGTATAAGAAACTTAATTGCTAATCCGGATAAGATCGACATAAAATTATACGTAAGTATATGTAAAATCTAGGGATAAGTATAATAGTAATTTTATAATATACCGCAAATCTGCAAAGTTCAGTTTTAGAGATCAGAAAAATGGCAAATCTTACTGTTATGTTAATAGAGAACGGGTTATTAGACAACAATCTCCATTATGGTGCTTACTCACGATATTGGTGGCGACTTTCTAGTACCAATAAAAAAAAGGAAGTATATTTTTCTATTCGAATTGGTCAAAAGACTAAAATAATTTTAAAAGAATGTGAATTTTTTATGACAGTTATTATTAACTACTCTGAAAGTTCTTTTTTTTGCCTAGCTATTATTGTGAAAGTGGTTCTTTTTCCAGCATAAAATTAGATCCGACATCAGCAATTTCAACGGTATATAAGGAGATTTTCAATAATTAAACGCGCTATTCTGGATTTTTGGTACTTGGATGGACAAATGAATCGATAATCAAACAGCTCTTATTAAACGTACTATTCATTCCTATATCCTTTTCACTTGGTGAATATAAAATTTTTATTTTTGGAATTGGTTCATCTTCAAACTCTGAATGGAATTATGCTGGACCGGGCTATAAGTCGTCTCTTTTACGAACTACAAATGGAAAACGCGTATTATATGTTTCGAAAATAGAGGATAATTTTTGTGCTCTCGAGATTTATAAGGATTTTAATATTAAAGACCGGATCGAAGGTTCGTCTCCAAATGAAGTGTGGCAAAGGCTAAATATTCAGAAGTATACTGGAATTCAACTTTTTGGGCTCGAAAACCCTGAAGTGCAATCATTCATTCGCCAATATCATGTTCCTTCCTGTTTGCCA